TCGTGGGTTTATATATATATTTAAATCTGAAAATAAATTATGGGATTCCTTCAAAGTTTTCGAAACAACTTCGATGACTCTAATTCTCTTCATCATCGTGAGATTTACATATGGGATTATGAAAATCGGGTACAAAAACTTTATATAAATTATTTTAATATAGTGAAAAACAATCGGAATCTAGAAAAAATTATAAAATTTCAACAAATTAACAATATTTGTTGTGTATCGATTATCAAATCGAAATAATGTTCCGATATTGTTGAATAGACCAAAAATATAATTCGAAATAAAATCCTCAAATTCCTTGATATTTGCTGCACAATAATGGTCTCTTTCATCTTCAGCGTCCCTCAAAACAATTTTTAACGTGTCATTCAATCATGTTAGATTCTTATTTTCTGCACGAATCTGATTATTAGCAGTTTCAAGTCGATCCTTTTCATTCACAAGTTCTTTAACTCTATGAATCAATTCATTTTTATCGAAATTTAAAGCGCGTATTCTTTGTTCTAATTCATAAACTTTTATTGTTAATCTGGAGTTTTCTGCAATTACTATTTTACCTCCTGTAATTCTTGGTTCCATTTTTTGTTAAAACTCATTTTTCATGACCTCAATTTATTTTTATACTATTAACAGATGTATTTTTTTTATTTATTTTATTTTAATACAAATTTGTTTATATGCCAGGACTACAATGCTCTCTTGGATTAACAAACTTGATATTTTGTAACTAAACAATGATATAGTTCGATCAACTTTACTTTTTTGACTAATGTTTGTCTGGAATTGCTATGATAAAGGAATTGGTTCGTCTTCTAGAACACAATTTAATCATTCATTTGTGACTCAATGTAAAAACTATTTCTTAATTTATTTACAAATTGGAAATTGCTATGATAAAAGAATTGGTTTGGTATTTGAAAAATTTCGGAATATTTATATTTCTTGGTTTGATTGTACTTCAATTTTCTATATCTAATCAGTCTTTTGGCTGATTAGATTTTTCCCTCAGTAATTCATCGAAGTTGTTTCGAAAACTTTGAAGGAATCCCATAATTTATTTTCAGATTTAAATATATATATAAACCCACGA